AGTACAATTAATACTATGTAATGTTATATACCAGTAAAGTAGGTATAATTAAGAAAGAATGCGCATGTCGCCAACAAACTGCACAGCAGTTTGGTGACTTTTGCTAAATAAGTTACCAGTTGTAATCTTTAAAAAAAAATTAATTTTTTTTTTTAATTTAATTTACATTTATAATAATATACCACTCGAGATTAAATTATAAGACTTGTGTTTGTTTAGGCATACTTTGGTTACAGTAAACTGAAGAAACTAAAAAAAACCGTTTCAACATTCAAGCCATACATTTGCATGTCGATAATGACTTATCGATATATTATGGTACAACACTAAAGAAATTCGCCATTTGTAACTTTCAAATTTTGGTTCTAAGCACGTTGATTCTGTAGTTAGGGCAGCTCATTTCTTTTAATTTTTTTCCAGGCTAAGCCGTTTACACATGCGTGTCGTGCATCTCATCGCTATTCGCATCGCCTATCCCACGAATGGAATGTGAGAACGCTGCATTAGAGGATGGAAAAAAATAAAAGAAGTATTAATACATTTTATGTATTCTAAATCTTCAGGACTATGGATTCATGTAGTTTAGAGGTTTCGAATATGTGCTATCTGTCTTTAGACCTTCATGTCTTGCCGTTAATTCAAACTGGTGGTAAAATTAACTTTGGAGCAAGTACATCACACAAATAATTAGGATAAACATGAAGTTGAAGATTTATAATGGTTGATTTGTTTAAAACTCTTCCAGTGCAAGGACTGTACATGTTTCTTGTTTATACAGGAAAAGTATTTCAAAATAAATAAATAATATTTAATAATAATAATATTGACGTCGCATTTCATGTTTTGTTTACATTTGGTAAACAAAACATGAAATGCGGTCGAATAGACGAATTTTCTTAACGTTTTTGAGAGTATCACATATTAAATACACACAAGTGTACATACATTGTGAAGACGACGTGTCTTCTATCTAAAAAAATTTCGACAAAAATATAAACTACACAAGATGCCGATTTAAGGAAAAAAATTGTACTTTGTAAGTAGCCGTAACAAGGAACTTGGTTTCCATAGTCTAAGCAAGGAACACTAAAAACTTAAAACAAAATTCAAAACAATCACAGACAATCTAAGCAGAAGAAGGGGTGTCAATAAAAAGATTTTCCAACACACGTGTAGGCAACATTTAATAATAAGTAACGTTTATTTTAACGTGTTTATCTAAATTATATTTATCGTGTGTGCACTGTTGACCCCTCATCGTGACTACTCGATAAGAGACGAGTTTTCGTGTCTAGCAGGGCAGAGACGTTTGGCACTAATGAAATCCGAACGTGTTAACAAAATGAGTGCGCCAATACCGCCTTTCCAGACCGTGACAAAAACTATCATTAAGTCGAAACAGATTTACGCACCCGTAGGACCGTACAGGTAAGAGTAAGTTTAAGTTCATCATCAGTTTACACGCATCCACTGCTGGACATAAGCTTCCCCCTGAGCACGCTAACTCTCTCGGTCCTGTGCCGCGCGCATCCAGCCGCTGCCGGCTACCTTCTTAGGTCGTCCATCCATCGAACCGCAGGGCGTCCTACACAACGTTTACCTTGACATAGTCGCCATTCCAGAACAAGTCTGCTTCTCGGCCATCAACCCTCCTGCAGACATGTACTGCCCACTGTCATTTAAGGTTATTGATTTTGTGAGCTATGTATGACTTCATTTGGAATTCGGTTCATCAGAGAAACCCCAAGCATAGCTCGCCCCATCCCACGCTGACCGACTTTAAATTTGTGGATGAGGCCTATTGTTAATGCCCGCGTCTCGGCTCCAGACATAACTGGTAGAACGCACTGGTTAAATGCTTTTGTTTTTAAACTCTGTGGGGTTGACGACCTAAAGGCTAAGCTTCCCGAAAAAAGTTTAAGTTAACATTATGTTTTTGAAAAAAAAAATGTCATTAATCTCGAAAAATGTTTCCAATGTCGCACTCATCAGAAGGTATAGGGCTACAATACGACAGTAGATAAGGTATAGTTAATTAAAATCATCACTGTCATTTACTAGTTTATTTTGATGAATTCAAAGTGTTACTATCATCGAAAGGAGTTTCACGGGTGACTACTAAGAAGAAATATATGATAGTCCAATAAATTATTACCTTTTATTTTCCAGCCAAGCCATATTGGCAAATAACAGTACCTTGTATATATCCGGGGTGCTAGGTCTCGATAAGGAAGCGCAGGTAGTTTGCGGCGGAGTCGAAGCACAAACGCGGCAAGCTCTAGAGAACCTGGAACGCGTGCTTGAAGCAGGTGGTGCTTCACTAGAATCCGTAGTGAAGACAACTATACTGCTTGTTGATATGAACGACTTCCGATGTGTTAACCAAGTTTATGCAGAATGTTGGTATAAATGGTGATATTAAAATGTTTAATTCTAGTTAAAATATTCATAATGAGCCTTCATTTTCAATTTTTGTCCCAACGTGTCAGTCTTTATGAAAATCAGCAAATAAACCACGTCACGAAAAAGAAATATTAGCTAATAACCAAAATTTGCATTTGCTAAGCAATAGTTTCGAACAGTGGAGGTGTATTTATGTATAATTATCATTATTTTTGAAGTAAGGCTAAAATAGACAACATACAAATAACGCTGGCCAACTACTAAACACGAATTACATAATATTGCTTAATCAATTTTGTACTGCGTAACTGTTACGTTGCGTAATTTTATGCAAAATGATAGGTTTTTAAAGCTTTAAGCTCTGTAATTTCTATTCTATGTGTATTGTAATTAACCTAATCTTAATTTCAACAGTGATACATAAAATACTCTCGATATTCTACTTTACGTATGGTAGTGGTATTTTTGCGTAGGTACCTGAGAATTTAATAAATGTAATATGTACACTTACTCATTCCCTACTACAACACTGAATTACTCTATATACGCAGGAGAAAATTTTGTATGAATTCCTTTCAGATTTCAAGAAATACGCTCCGGCAAGAGCGACATATCAAGTGGCTAAGCTGCCACTGGGCGCAGCAGTGGAAATCGAAGCTATAGCCCTCAGTGGAAAACTGGTGGTTTCTGAAATCGGTCCTTGCCCGTGTACTCGTGCCTAGTTTATTATTACACTTGATATGTGAAACGAATAAATATATATACAATATATAATACGATATACGAAGGAACTTTAATCACGTCGATGTTTTGTAGAAAGTACGAAAGCGCCATGCGTGTGTGAGCGCGCGTTATTTTGAAAAAAAAATCCGTAGAAAGAGTTTTAATTTTTCGCGACTGTATTAAAATATTTACGTTCTGTTTTAAATTCAATTTTAAAACCTAAACTTCGTTAAAACTTAAAACCTAAAACATGCTCTCTTGAAAAAAAATTCAAAATGTCGCTTTCGCCCTACAAAACACGAATTTATAATAAGCTATTCCATCTCGATAGATATTTTAATGGACTAAATGTAAGCATCAAAATTTAAAGATATTCTCGCTTGATAGCGTGCTTTTAATTTCTGTTATTACTTATTAGAGCGCCTTCAAATAAGACATTTATAGAAGCGCTGCAGGGGCGCGTTACTGGCACACTACAACATTTTTACGTCATTAGAAACGCAGCTGCAGCGCCATGGTCGCGCCACTTTTGCAGGCAGTAATGTAAGAAAATGAGTCGTGGCGCGACTACCGAGCCACTGCAGCACTCCTACAAGCGTCTAATTTTAAGGCGCCCTTATTATCGCAGAAAGTAATAATGCGATAATAAGGCAAAAGCAAGCAATAGGTATAGGGTCAAGAGCACGTCATGCTTGACACTTAAGATTTAAATCCAACTCTATACCGCTTATGATAAGCGCGGTCCAAAGTACAAAGTGTCAAGTTTGACGTGCTCTGGACTGTACCTACTTACTGTCATACTCACAGAAATTTAAATAATTAAATACAGAATACGGAAAGTTTGTCATTTATGGACCGTACGACTTCTTGCCGGTTAAGTCGTGCAAAGTGCAGGCCTTGACCGTGCTCAGTGCAGTGCAATGCGCGTTCGGAAACGGACGCTCCACTACGCAGTGAGTTAATTAGCAACTCATTGCCAATGAGCTCCTGGCGTTTATTCAACATGCCATCGACACATGGACGAAGTCAGCATTGTGCATTTCTGCAAATCGAATTTCAATGAGGATGAGATTTGCAGTGGCAAGATGCTGTACTATGTTCCAGAGCCTCAGGAAAACCGAACAGCACGCCGATTTTAATTGAAATCGGAATCGATCGATCGGGTAGCCCATCCGAGACTCGAAATCAGATGGGTTTCCGAGAGAGAAGATGAACCTGATTCCTACTATATCTTTCTAATTTGTGAGTCAACCACAGTTCCGATTTGAAATGTCAAAAGTTTCCGATCGGCCCAGTTGTGAATCGCAGTCGCGTACGCCTCGACTCGGAAGAGTTTCCGATGGGGAGAGGTAATTAAAATCAAGCTGCAGATGCCATCTCGCCGGAGGGATGGAGGCGTGAAGAGTCTCCAGGAGACTGACCCGGACGACGTGCCCACATTTGTGGCGAAGGAGTTGCACAAGCTGCCCCCAGTCACGTTTGACCACGTTGATGTCACTAGGCTGCTGAGGACATTACGTTCTCGAAGTCGAGCCTAGCTGAATTACAGTGTACATTAGAGGCTTCGGAGTACACCGTAAGTGAGCTGCGTGCCCAAGTTGTGTTATTAAGCAACCCTGCTTTGGTATGTAGGTCACCAGAAGCCTCTAATGTAAACATGCGTCGTGAGGCGCAAAATGCATCCATTTGCAGCGAGTTTACATTCGAATGCACCGATCGCTGTTGCTACCGCGCGTGATGCACCGCGCTCCGCTGCCGCTCCTCCGCCTCGGCGGAAACGTCACGCGTATGCACGTCAACCCCTACACGTGCAAACGCCTCTGTAGCCGCTTCAAGTAGCGGACCCGCTACTTTGAAACACGAACGGCGGCAATCTACTAAGGGAAGAAGTAATCCCCGCGTAGCTGTCTCTCAAGTTGTAAAACCACAGAGACAGATGGATCGATGAAGACGGCTTCACAAAAGTGGAGAAGAAGAAGAAGCCCACCAGCCGTAACCAGTGTGGTACAACACCGACAGGACCGAACTTCCTGCTGCGTCCGGCCATACCGACGACGCTGCTGTACCTGTCACGATTGCATTACTCCACGAAGTCTGAGGAGATGGAGATAGTGGAGTACATCAGACATAAAGCCAAATACACCCTGAGGGTCGAACGGTTGGAGTCACAACGTGAATTTCAATTCGTTTGTGGTGAGAGTGCCGACCGAACATCTGTGGATCTTCATGAAGGAAGAATTTTGGCCGAAGGGTTTTATAATATATCGGCGATTCCGCGGCCGGTTACTTGACACCAGCAGGTTGATTTTGATTGCCTCTCCCGATCCAAAACTGCGTCTTTTCCGAGTCGAGGCGCATAATTGCGATTCACTGAGAAACTTTTGACATTTTAAATCGGAACAATAGTTGATTTAACCTTAGAGGATGGAAAAAAAATAAGGATTTAACTCACAAATTAGACAGACATCGTAGGAATCAGGTTCATCTTCCCGCTCGGAAACCCATCTGATTTCGAGACTACCCGATCCAGATTTGAATCTAAATCAGCATGCAGATTGCGCCACACGTCGCCGACAAGTGCAAAATTCGTGTAGATTAGTTAGAAACTGTGTTTTATATTGTATTGTATTTATGTTAGTCCTTAAGGTATATATTATATATAGGGTCATGTGGGCTGAAATTTTTTTTTAAGGAAGTACCTATGAAAATCCATTACTGTCCACTTCTCTAAACTTTTAAATCTACCTACTAAATAATTAACTACGTAAACAGGCAAAAGAAAAACTCATACATGGCTGTATGACTTTTTCTTTTTAGTCTTTTATTATGTCCTCACATTGTTTGAGAAAAATACTATACCTACATGACATGCTAGACATGCTTGCCGCGTATGGGTTACATTACTATCTCGCTGGCGCTCGTCCTTGTAACTCATATTCGTCCAGCTATCCCTTACTTCCCGGCCCTGCAATAATACCTACTATTTCCATTTATTGTACGATACGTTCTTAAATGTTATTGAAGTAGTAAGTCATTAATTGTAATTTTAATTATGATTTACTTTGCATAACATTTAGCCAACAAGAACTAAAATACTTTATAAATACTTATATACATAACATAATTATTTTCTCAAACGTTATTAAAGACGTAAAAATCATTAAATAACTTTAATTATGATTTACAACCATAAGTTTATGTTTACAACAATCAGTTTTAAAAGTAATCTATAAAGTCTTCTACATACGTAATACTCTATCTACTACATAAACATTTCATTTGGGAAATAATTTTTTTCTCAAATATGCTCGGAAATGATTACATTATTTTCATAAAACGAACACGGAAAGTTTCTCATTTATGGACATCGAGTATATCCAGAAATAGAAACGAAGTGTTATTATTTTGTTTAAAAACTATTCTGCTATGATTACGATCACGATGATAACCAAAGAGTATATTAAATATTGCTTATGTATAGCAGTGTTGCCAGACTTTTGCGAAGTTAATTCGCCAATTTATGTGTGTTAAGTAGCCGATATTCTCTTATTTCCCCAATTCCCTACACGCAAAAATACTCTAACCCCCAAATGAGTTATTTTACAACTCCATTCCCCACAAAATTATCAATAAAATTTGTAATTCCCCAGACATTTTATTAAGTAGCCTAAAAGCGCCTTTTCCTATTAGAAACATAGCCTAAATATAGCCGAGTCGCCGATCACTTTTTTAGTCGCCGCGCGACCCCTCAAAGAAGCCTAAATGGCGAAAAATCGCCTAATCTGGCAACAGTGATATAGGGGAACCACTGACAACTGGGTCGTTTTCAGATAATCTCCAAAGGTGTGTCCCTTCCAATAACTTCTATATTACCTCATAAAAGCTAAGCATTGTTTATTTAATATGATTGCTTGTTTACTTAGTCTGTTTTGCACATAAAAAGACTAGTTTACTACGCTACAGTAATAAATGAAAATTAAAAAGTGGGTAACTTCTCATTCACGGGAGCCGGTTTCACGTCTCCCTAATTTTAAGAAATGAAGAAAAAATTAAACACTCGCACACACTCTTTCACGTCGAATACATACCGTAACTTTCCATTTTTAATAAACAAATAAATCAAATAACTATGTTTTCTTGGGAATACAACATCTGTTTAAATTTTTGTTATCATTAGTGTTATTTCGACTAAAAATATCATATTAACAAAAGTTCATACCGCATCACCGTCACCTTTCGCACACGTGAGAAGGGGCTCCTGTCGGATTGGAATGTACACAGTGAAGTAATCTGTGCATTTCCGTTTTAGCAAAAGTTTTACTTAAATACCAATTTCAGTGCTAGTGACTAAATAGTTCTCATTCATATAAAGCAATCTGTCTAAATAAGTATTAGGTATGTAATAGTCTTATAAACTTTATTGTGCATCAATTAGACAAAGGGAACTTTCTTTTAGGAAAAATTCACACACTTTTATCCCCTCGGTACAATTGATCTACTTTCCCGATCGGTCCACTTGTTTTTCCCGATTCGTCTATTCCCCATTTCGTCTACTTTCCCATTTGGTCTTCTATCCCGATAGGTCTACTTTAATGATGCGTCTACTCTGATAATCTTAGTACAGAGTACTAAAAAAACCGACCTCACAAGTTCGTGGAATTACATATATTTGCCAAGTTTTATTGACATCGGTTACCGGAAAGTGCGCGAATCCGGATTCACGCCCTAGTTTGCCACCCTTAGAGATGAAATATTTTCTTCACCTATAATTTAAATTCACCACTACCGAGGTGCCCTCTTTCCAACAAAAAAGGAATGGATAGTATTTAACCGCTCACCAAAAAAGCAAGTTTTTCACAACCGAATATACCACTTCCCCAACAAAAGTACTCATTGCGCATCAAAATATGTACATCTTGGAAAGTCAATGACATCAAAAGAAAATTAATTTAGTATTATTTACGGACAACGGCACATCAGACTACACATTTTTGTTCGAAAATCGCATCCTGTGCAACGGAACAAGATACGTCAATGTTTAGCTTGATGTGCTGGCGTGTGTACTAAAATTAATGCATAACATTTTGTCGCAAT